GACAGAATTTAAAGTCTTCCTGTACTTCCTGACTTTTCTTGACTTCATATTCATGAAACCCTTTATCGTCGTCTGAATCACTATCAGTATTGTATAAATTCCAATCGAAACTTTCTAAATCTTCTTCACTCATAAGGCAAAGCTGATGATCGGTAACCTTTGTCAAATATCTATAGGCTTTGTAAAATTATAATATAATTAAACTTTAAACATTTAGAAATTAGCCAGCTTGAATAAGTATATAATACCTATGTAAGTTAGTCATATTCTTTTTGCATTGCGAAGAAGCATTTTCCTCGTAGCATCCTATTTCGGGCCAATTAATAACTATACCGAAATCTGAAATCACAACCAGTAAATAAATACCAGGACGTAAATTTGAGTTGTCGATAGAAGGCTGCGAAACTATAAGCAAGTCATACTAAAAAAAAAAAAAAAAAGTGCAAAATTAAATCTAATTATCATTGTTGGAATAAATTTTTTAATCATGCAAATTTTGCATACATTTCTTGATCAATAATCCCTAAATTCAACAAGAGTTTTGAAACTAAATGGCGATTTCCGTAAAATCCAATAAGGCGAACAGAAATTGATTTCAGAAATAGACTTAAAACTTGATGGAACTATATCATCGCATAGTTTCTTTATAAACTCCTTGGAGATAATTATTTTATCGACTAAAAGATTATGTAATGCTTTGATGAGTAATAATAATTTATTCAAAATTCAAATTCGCAAATCATGTAAAGAAACATACCAAGACCATTCGAACCATCGTCTTTGCATAAGTCTAATAAACGATATAAACCAGGAATACGTTCGATCAAGTCTTTACATTCGGTTGTATTCTTTAATTGGTCTATACCGGTTGAAATTACGTTTTCTGACTTCTTTCGTTCTTGATCTTCATTGGATAAAGGTTCATTAGCTTGAAACTTGCGAATATTTTCACCGTCTTGTTGACCATATTGCTCTTTTCCTGGATATTCATCAGAAGGTCTAGAAGGATCGTTTTGAAATAAATCAATTTGTGGTTGTTGATTTACAACGTTATCAGGTTCTATTCCGCTCGTTGACGCAAACGTCTGAAATTCTTTGATAATGTACGGGTATGGGAAAAAAATCAGATTATTTATATAAACATTTTCTATTTTCCAAATTTTCCATTTTCTCCAACATTATCCCATGACAACACTGGTCATTATGGCCTCAATTTCAATTTAAATATCTCCGATTTAATGTAAGAAATATATCCTTCAAAAATTTTGTCGCTCACTAATTATTGAAAATTCTTGGCTGCCAGGTTTTTTTTTTTCTTGTGAAATAATATTCTCTCGTTTAGTTCACCTTAATCAAAATTATCGAATAAATTCTTACCCGAATTATCGGTAACTTGGTTAGTATTGTAAACATGCATAACGATACGTCGTTACGAAAAAAAAAAATTATTATTTTTTTACATTCATTATATACATATATACGTTAATTTCTGTACATATCTTTCCTTTTTGGATAAATTATACTGTTTTAATAGTTACATTACACGGATATGCCTTTTACGGAAACAAAGGTTATAAAAAAATTTGAATTTTCAAATAAATTGTGATAAAAATATAACATTTGTAGAAATACGTAATAGTTATATCCTGGCTAATTAGAAATAAGTAAAATTTCACTATTTCAATTAGCCAGAATATAATTGATTTATCCTATCATTTACGTGATTATGCAAATGATTTATGATTTTTGATCGCCAGTAGGTATAAGTTATTTGCATAATCCGGGGGATAATCAATATTAACGCACTTTTAGGTATCACAATTCATATCTCGCAACGTTAATATGGGAAGATTGCTAGGAAAATCAGGTTCTGAGGATTTTTTTTTAACTAAAATTAAGATCTTTTTTCATTTTTAATCAAATAACTTCAAAAATTAAAATGCAATAAAATCAAAATTTTTATTAAAAAATTCCCAGAATCTGATTTCTTAGCAAT